CGCAAATACGCATACGCGCGCGCGCGTACACACACACACGAAAAAGAAAATTTTTAATTGCCTTATTAATCCAAAGTTGCATCTGAAGTATATTAAACAATACACATTCTAACAAGATTAGAATGTATATTAGTCTCATTAAAATGTATCTAGCAAAATAAACATAATCATCATGATCATAATATTATAAAGATTTTTTAGCTAATTAGATTTAGACTTGATGAAAATGAGACTTTATTAAGATACAATGCAAATTCATTTTTATAAGCAAGTTAATATTTGATATTAAAAAATGCAATAAAGAATTTTAAAATATGAGTAATTATGTTTTTAAATTAAATTGTTATACGCAATCTTTATATTTATTGTAATCATACTATGATTTACCTGTATTGTCTGCACCTCTTGGTATAATAACATCAGCAAACTTCTTAGTAGGAAGACAGAACTCCTCAAAGGCAGGTTTCACAAAATTCATGTATTGATTCAATACATAATCTAAATCCCTTCCCCTTTCCTTTATGTCTCTTGGTACTATGAAAAGTAAAAATATTGTGTGATAACTTCGACATGTATAAATTTAAGAAAAATACATAACAAATATTTTATATTATCACCTCTTCTAGCTAATCTAGTATCTGAATCAGTATCCACAAATAGTTTCATATGAAATAAGTCTCGTATTTTGGGAAAATAAAATACTAAAATGCCTTCAAATAAAACTACGTCAGCAGGATAAATTGTTGTAATTTGATCTCTTAGTCTAAAATCCCCCCAATAAATGATTAATATTTTACTGTACATTACAATATATCAAATTGTCTTAATTGACACATACAAACTGTTTGTTCTATAATCATAGGCTGTTATTTCACATTTTCTCCCAGCTAATATATCTTGTAATGTTTGAAGTATTAAGTCATTGTCAAATGCATCTGGATGATCAAAATTATATTGACCCTTCTCAGCTTTAAGTTTTTCAGTTGGTGATAAATCTCGATAGAAACTATCTTGTGAAATACAAACAACTTGACGTTGCATGTGATCCATATCTACTTGTCCAAGTTTCTCCATTATACGTTTACATACAGTTGACTAAAAGGATAAAAAAATTATACTCAATTAGCTTTCTAATTGAACAGGTGATCGAATACTTTATAATTTTCAAATACACATTGTCTTTGCGAGGTTAAGTTAATATATTTTAAATTATTTTTAATTTTAATTTATATTAAAATATTCTAAAAATAAAATGGTATATTACTCACTTTTCCACTAGCAGTACCACCTGAAACTCCAATTAAAAAGGGTGTTTTGCTTTCTAAACCATTTAATTTTCCATTAATATCAAAAGACATTTTTCGTGAGGTATCAATATTCATTAACATATTTGCCATTGTCTAAAATTTACTTAGATTATTCGAAATTGAATAAAGGATTAATCTTGGATAGATACTGAAACAATAATTTTGTGTATAACACTATTGATTTCAATTATTACTTTAAAGACATCAATAAAAGTACTGACATACTACTGTTAGAAATATAGTGTGCTTGTAAAAGTTGTCTAGGAGAAAAAAACATAAGTTTCAATTTCTAAACACGAAACTTAAACACGTATTGGCCAGAGAACGGGGTCAAGTGTCAATCAGGTCTGTAAAATGCAAAATTACACTACAACTTGATCTAAGTCACATAATCATGACATTCGCATACATGACTAACACGTTGCGCCCGCGCACGCGTGTATACATTTATTTAAATGTAGAAACACTAAAAATTATAAAATTGAAATGTATACAATTTATTAGGTTATCTATTAGAATGTACTGCTTTATATTTAACTCTTATTTCATAAATAATTTACAATTATCAATAATTATCAATAATTTACATGATTTCAATTCACATAATTCAAAAAATTATTACATTTTACCCTATATTTGTATTTATTTTACTTTGAATATTATCAGGAAAAGCATCTTTAAAAATACACTTTTTTTTTGTTATGTTACTTAACATAATAATTAACCTATGTCATACTATCGAAAAAGCTTTATATATCGTTAAATATAAATTATATGTCATTTATATTTTAAATTTCTATATTTAGTAAATTTTGGTTTTGTAGCCCGTTTTTATTTAATAATGCAACGGAATTTATTTACGAAGCGTTGCGTTCATACAACAAGAACTTTTGAGGTAACATTATATTTTTAAGATAATTATTTTGAGTATTATTGAATTCTGTTTTTCAATTTATATAGCTATAGATACAAAATTTAATATCGTGCCTAATGATAATTCATATAAGGTTTATTATAAATTGTTTAATATAAGGTTGTAAAGGCTTAATATAAATGTAATGTTTAAATTGATTTAATTTACGTTAAATAATATATAATAATTATAAAAATTAAATATGGATAACAAAGTAGTTTGTTTATCAGCATCATTTATTTTATGAATGTTTATTCACAGGAAGCTATGAGAGCATTATGTGGATTACAAAGTAATAGTAAATATTTAAAATTTGCAGAAAAAAGCCATTCAAAAACAAGCAGATCTTCTAAAATATGTACAAAAAAATGTTTAATCCGGTAACTATATGCTTTTTATATCATGTTAAATAAGTGGTATATTTAGTACTATTTATAGGTCTGGTATTACTCTTGAAATGTTAGATACCTTATCAGTCATACATGTAGCTGGTACAAAAGGAAAAGGTTCCACTTGCGCGTATTTAGAAGCTATTTTACGTGAACATGGTTTTAAAACTGGATTTTTCAGTTCTCCTCACTTAGTTAATGTAAGAGAACGTATAAGAATAAATGGGAAACCAATAAGTGAAACAGATTTTACTCATAATTTTTGGAAAATATATAAGAAATTAGAAGATACAAAAGAATATGAATCTGATATGCCTGCTTATTTTAATTTTTTAACAATTCTCATGTTTAATTTATTTTTGTATGAGCATGTTGATGTTGCTATAGTTGAAGTTGGAATTGGAGGTTTATATGATTGTACAAATATCATACGAAATCCAGTATGTGTGGGTATAACTAGTTTAGGATTAGAACATACTTCTTTACTAGGTAATTCTCTTGAAGATATAGCTTACCAAAAATCTGGAATTTTTAAGTCAAATTCTATTGCATTCTCTGTTTCACAATTACCACAAGTAATGGAGGTTCTCCAAAAAGAAGCAAATGAAAAAAATTGTAAATTACATATTGTTCCATCTTTTGATGAATATAAATGGGAAAATATTTCACCTCTTTTTCACATAAGACATAAAGTTCAACAGGAAAATGCATCTCTGGCTATTCAGTTAGCTATCAAATGGATATTATCTAAAACAGATAGACTTCCAATCACATCGAATAATTATATAAATAATAAAATTTGTAATAAATATGAAGAAAATACTCAGATAACTGTGTCTATGGATAAGATTGCAATAGGTTTATCTTCTTGTAAATGGCCTGGTCGAATGCAAATTTTAAATAGTAGTGTTGGTGATTTTTTCTTGGATGGTGCACACACAATTGAAAGTATCGAGTGTTGTATTTCTTGGTTTAATGATGTAACTAATAAAAGCAAAGGTCCACGATTTCTAATTTTTAATACATCTGGTACTCGAGATCCAATTAAACTATTATTACCCTTAAAGTCTTTAAATTTTCATAAAGCATATTTTGTGCCAAATTTTGCAAAAATTAAAAGTTTATATGATGAAGTAAATTCTTCATCAATAGATGAACAAAAAATAAAATGTGAAATAAATTCAAAAATATGGGGAGTGAATTCGGTTGTTGCAAATAGTGTTTTTGAAGTATTACAAGATATAAAGAATAATTCAGAATCAAAAACTAATTGCGAAAGAAATCATATACTTGTTACAGGATCTTTACATTTAATAGGTGCAGTTCTTTCTATTTTAGATCCAAATTTAACAATGAGTACTCAATTTTAATAGATATTTTAAAAATTGGGGTTATATTACATATTTGTGAAATATATAACAAGAATATTTTTCTTTATAAACAATAGAATTATATATTTAATAACTGTGTTAACAATTGTAATTTGTAACAATTTATAATAATATGGTAACGAGACATTGCATTGTAATCCTGATGATAATCATGATCATGATAAACTATTTATTGATACTTTTTTTTAACAATTCTTTTGTACTTTAGTATAAATATATTTTCCATAAAACTATAAGTAATTGTAAAGATATAATAATTTGTACATATGACAAGTTAATGTTATACATGTTCATGGATTGTACAGCAGAAAATATATGGTGTTAAAATAAGAACTAGAAAAAGTACTTAAAATATTTTAGAATGATAATCTAATTCTGTTTCTGCTTCTGTGTCTGATAAACTTAAGGAAACGCCAGTTCTTCGTCGTAGATGATTTTCATCAGGACTCTGAAATGTATAAAAATAGGTTTAAAATAAAATAAAGTTTTGTATTTCTTTATGCCTATTTGACTTGTATTAATATTTACTGTCTGATATTAAGTATGTCACTATTAATCAAACAATTATGTGCTAAAACAATATTCTAGAAAGATTACTGTTTAATAAGAATAGAGATCGATACCTGATCTAGAATACCGGCAGTGGGTTCGGAGACATAACCTACTTCTTGTGCATCTTCCTCTAAATCTGCCTCATATTCCTCTAATTCATCCATATCAGAATCAATTTCCAAATCTACATATATACTTCCTCTGGAGACTTTACATACCATTTGAGCTAAGTCTGTAAAAGTATATGAAGAGAGAGATTGCTGATTTGCTGCTTGATGTTTTGCTCGTAACGCACGGGCATTTTCTCTATCAGCATTAAAACGTGGTAATACTCCAGCTTTCAACTGTCCATCAAAATAAGTTTTTCCTACAAAACCATAGTTTATTTAACTTACTCATATCTATAACATTTTTGTTTTTTAAATACAGATATAATATTTACCATGTTGATATCCAACATCTTTAATTTCATCAAAATTGGCAAATTGAAGAGTTTTATATTTATCTATTGGTGGTCTAATATATTCACAATAGTCTGAGTTTTTAACCTCTTCCAATTGCCGTACACAACTCACATATGCTAATCTTGATTGTATGTCGGGTAAATTCGGAACTTTAACAGGTGTTGCGAAAGGATTCCACCGTTTCCATAATAACCACCATCCAGATAAAGAATCTCCATAATTTGTTAAATCTGTATCATCCTGTGACCCAACATCAATTGCCAAAATATGATGTGCTCCTTGCCTCAACATTTCGTCAGCTTGAACAAAAAAATTATAAAGCCATATATTCGAAATTGATTATAATGAACAAGTTATTATCTCTATGAAATGATAAACAATGCAGGTTTAAGATACCTGGTACGTTATTAACATAACACCCATCGACCAAAAGATGCCCGTCAAGAGGATCGCAAATAGGAGGAAAGACCCCCGCAATGGTCATACTGGCTCGAATGTATCTCCATAGCAAACCTGAGTTGACTTAGCTATTCAGGATTTGACAAATGCATCTTTTATCAACGGGAGTGAGCTTTATATCATTTTCAAGTTTAAATTATGCCTTTTAATTTACAATGAACCATTCTGAACTTATATCAATGAAAGGAACTAATGCAATTTTATCTATTCATTGATATGAAGTTGTTTTTAATGTCCAGGTAATTTTATAACACTAAAGAGGAAAGTTATAAATGTTCTCATTTAAGAGCGTTTGTGCATTTAACTTAAAATATTTTTGCACACTAGTCGTAAATTTTATAAAAATATATAGCGCACGTTTTTCTTTTTTTCTATCATATGATAACAAAGTTAGATGCACGTTTTTAATGTGACATTCAAATTACCTGGAAGGTTATTGACGTACCCGCCGTCGAGTAGGAGATGGCCGTCAACCGGGTCACACATGGGTGGCATATAACCAGACAAAGACATCGAAGCCCGAATGTACCGCCACAGCGATCCTAAACACGACGAATTAAATTTATAATATATGTTTATATATTCCTGCATACTTCATAAATTCTTTTATAAGGTACATGATATACTTTTACAATAAAAATTGGGAACTTCAAAACTCTTTTCTACCACAATTCATTAAAATTATGCATGGAGATTGTTTTTTATGTGTTTAATTTTCAAACGAGGAATAAGGTTCGACATTCAGTAATAAACGATAAAGAACGGAGAGTACGTCATTACAGTGATTATACAAAAAGCTCACTCCCACTGTTCAAGCTTATTTCTATGCAATTCTTTACAGTAATGCTTATTAAATTAAAAAAAAAAGAAAAAAACAGAACTTTGGGATAGGAATATATCTACAAGTTCTATAAACTTCACTAAAACAGCGAGAGAGTTTCCAGTTAGTTAATCTAAATTATTTAAATTTATGTCTTAAATATATTTTATTAAAGAAAACTGGAAACTTTCAGTGCTTTAATAAATGTTATACTTCTTTTGTTTGTGTACAGACCGTGTGTATGCGTACGCATACAAGAATCAGTGATGTCTGTAGTTATTGTGAAGTATGGTAACCATAGATCTTCTATATATGTATCTCCAAATGTTGCTTGTATCGTGCTATTAAAATCCTTTCCAGAAAACATAGATGTTACTGGATATGTTAAATCCATTATTTGTCTCCACCATTGTGTCATTTTCTGTTAGAAGAAATATTTATTCATACAAACAGAATAATAATTTGCACAATATGGTATGATTAATTTTGTAATATTTACTTTGGACCATTCGCGAGCCTTTTGTGTTGTTGTTGTTATATTCTTTTCCATGCACCACAAAGCACCCATAAATGCTCCGATGCTAACTCCACCAACCATGTCTATAGGTATGCCAGCTTCGATAACTGCTTTAAGCATACCTACATGAGCTGCACCTCTAGCACCTCCACCCCCAAGCACGAGTCCAACCGAAGTTCCAGTTAACCAACGAGCAAGTCTACTGAAGTCACTATGTATGTTTGGCTCAGACATCAAGACTTTAGAATATAATTCATTCTACAAAAAGAAATCAAATTATTAATAGATTTTGTATTATATGAAAATAAAAGTTTTGTTCCTTATATCTTACAATTCTATACTGAGATCTTCTCGTAAACATTCGTTTAGGGCATTGAATATGATGATGACTAGAAACCCAAGATCTCATATTTAACCACTGCACTGTATTTGTAGGTCGCTGTCCACTTTGTTCTTTGTGCAAAAGTACTAACTCTTTTTGTGTTCTCATTACTAAACGTTCGACTTCGCGTTCAGTTCTACCTATGGATGGAGGTTTATCTCCTAAACCTACAATAAGAATACAATCAGCTTGTCGAACACATCGTTGAGTCCACAATGTGTATGTTGGATCGCATTGATATAACGAGATTCGGTGTTGATCCTCTTGTTGTGCAAGCCATGATTGTAAACGGTATTCATTTGGAGGCTCCATTATAGTGCTACCTAATGTCTATTAAATAAACACAGATAGTTCGTATAATTTCATTATTTATAATGAAACTAAAGAAATGTTTCTTAGTACTAATTGCTTACTTTTCGAACAACGTCAGAAGTAAGGCGTAAGCATGGTCCAATAGCACACAATGAATGATAAAGTTCATATGTAAATGCAGTTAATGGAACATCATCGGATACCGGGACTATTGCAACTGTTGAAAAATTTACTTGAGCTGGTCTTGCATCAACTGTTGCAGCGGCCCGTCTATGAACATTTATATAAAGTGAATTCTAATTATTATAAAAAGAGAAGAAAAATAATTCTATAAATAGTTGATAAAATATTCTAGATATATACTGCGTATCGCTATTGCCATTTTTTGTGTGAGCTTGTTGCCAAGTGCCAAGTATACGATGTCCCAGTAAGTTTATAAGCCTTGTAACGACTATTGGGTAACGAAGTTTTATAACATTAAATAGTCCTTCGGGAAGCTTTGCTAGTTCAGAGTCTCGTACTGCCATTACTGTTGTTGATCGTGGTGTTTGTGTGACCATTTCTACGATACCTACTAGGTCTCCCTTCCCGTATTCCGCAACAAGTTCTTTTTTTCCATTTTTATATGTAATAACTGACCGAAGTCGGCCACTTAATACAATAAATGTCGAATCTGATTCATCTCCTTGTCGATATACTGCTCTTCCACTTTCAAGAAATAGCCAATCAAGAGCAAAATCAACCTTTTAAAAGAGCAGGCACAATCAATCAATTAACTAACTAATTAATTGAAATAAATTATTCAGTATTTTTACCTGTCTCACGAATGGACTAAGTCTCCGAACAACTGAATGAGCAACATGTAATACAACAGTAGGTTGTTCTCGCATAATAGCGAAAAATGTTAGTTTACTAAGAAGTGCGATGCGACTAGAATGTTTCGCTCTAATGGTATAAAATGAAGGTTCTCCAGTCAATACAGCTAATCCACCAACAATTTCGCCTTGATGAGCACTAAACATATGGACTTCCTGACTTATATCTCTACCTTCTGAAACGCGCTGACTAACTATTAATGAACCAGAAACAACATAGACAAGTGCAACATCCTGAAAGGAACGTACAACTGTATGAAAATATACATTTTAATGGATAATGGTATAGTAATACTAAAGAAGTTGTAACCTTGTGAGATTCTTCCTTCATCAAATATGTTCCAGCTGGTACTTCCCTAATTTGAACTTTACCATCTTTGAGTATTGAATCATCTTCTAACCCAAGTTCTCTGACAAATGCTTCTGTAGCTATTTGTACCAGATGTGTTTCATCTAATTGTTGTTGAAGTGGTTCAATAATAGTTGACCGTTTTTTGTTCGGATGTGAATTTCCTGTATGTATTACATCTGGTTGGGATCCTTGTTGCGATGTAATAGGTGAAGAATTTGGCCAATGGGAATCACGTTCTGGTACCATATCTGCCATATGCTGACCTGATTGAGGACTTAAACTTTGATTTTTCCAGTCAAGATTGACTTTTGGCCTATTGTGAAAAAAACATTAATAAAGAACCTATTTTTCGTTTTTGCATTATATGTTTTTTCAAACTTACCGCCGACTTATAACAATAGGTACACTCTGGTGGCTACTTAACGTAGAAATATCACGAGGAAACATTTCATTTTTATCATGTTCTGTTGAAACAATTGCAGATGCACTGGATTGATTTTCTATATTTTGGGTGGAGAAAGTTTCTTTAGTTCTTGATCTAACTGGAGATCCAGAAAATGGACTTTGTTTCTTTTTGTGTGGTCCTTGATTAACTAATTCTGCAGATAATCCAAGATACTGATGTAAAGCAGTGAAAGTCACTCTTTGAAGACGGACCATAATGACCTGGATAACTCGAACAAATGCATCAGGGTGGTCTTGGAAAACCTACAAAGGAATGTATATTATATGTACTCATATGCACTATAGCAACAGTAATTTTTATTTTATTTTAATTTATAATACATAATTTGACCATACCTCTTGAAATGCATTCATTGGTAACTTGACTACAATAGAATCTTCTACAGTTCTAGCAGATACTGTTTTATAGGTACTTGTATGTCCAGTGAGTACATCTGTAAAGCTAAGAAGACTAGTTACTGATTCTCCAGTTTTTACTAGTTTCAATGATATTTGAGAACCATCTGGCCCTGTGATATAAACATTAACTAATCCTTGCTGTACAATAAATAAATTTTCATCTGGATCTCCAATTTTAAATAAAGTACTTCCAGCTGGTAAAGTTACAATTTCTGTATGTTTGCATAATTTAAGAAATACTGGTTTTTCAAAATGACCAAATACTCTGATACTTTGCAACATATATAAAGCATCAGGTGGTACTTTTTCTCCAGGACCTAGATCTTCTTCTAAATATTCAGCAGGTGGTTCTAAAACCTATTGACATTATATTAGTCAAAATACAGTAATTTATATATAACAAAATGAAAAATGAAATAATACAACTGAAATTTTGTTTTTTTTTTATTTTAAATACTTTCAAAAATAAATACTTTTAGTTGTTGTGGCACTGTATCTTTTTTAAGTTGCAGGAGTCTTCGTGCAAATCTCATAACTGCTTTTCTTTTTTTTCCTTGTCCAGTTGCATGTACTTGTCCACTGATAGATTTTACTTTGCGCAACATTTTCCTTCCATAAAAGAGTACTTTGTCTCTTTTTCTGAATCTGGGCTTGCCTGTACCTACCCCAACAAATTCTTTTACTTCTGGGAGAAATTCTTTGTTTTTCCATTTTCGAAGTATAGTTATTGATATAACCAATAAAATCACAAGAATTATTGTTATAGATATTATGGTTATAAATAGAGCCCTTGACATTTGATATGCAACTAATGTGCCAATCCATCTTGTGAAAATATAAGAACAACTTTCATTATATTTATTGAATAATTCCACTATCTATAAAAAATAACAATAATTAGTACAACAATAATTAATTCCATTTAATACTATTTATAACAATTAATTCTATTATTACAAAAAACACTTTAACATAATTCGATTTTATATTTCAATAAGTAGATAAGATATTAGAAAAATGTATATATGAAATCTAACAAATACAACCTCCATAGTGGGTATTCATTTCTTCCATCAGAGTGGAGTAAAATATTAAACAGAAAGTGCGTCACAAACTCATAACCAAAGAGCGACAAGAATCCAAAGAGGATAGATTAAAACAATGTACTTGCTTTGATATAAAATATTACTTATCTACAATAAACTAATGACCTTTGATGCTTCACTCGAGTCATCCAGCGCCATTTTAGTCAGCTTACAAGTTTGCAACTTATAAACTAATTATTCTTTTTTTACGTATTTCATGTAATTACTACTAAATATTTTAAAAGTGGAAATCGTTTTCATAGTATGTCGTATTATTATCTTTTATTTATATATAATAGATATATTTATCAAGATGAAATATCAAAATTAAGATTTAATAAACTTGTACCTTTTTATGTAATTTATGTAAATAACAAAGCAATTTAGATTAATATAAAATAATAAAGTACATTAGGCCCAAGCGAATTATTTCTCAGAGTAGAAAAGTAAAATTGTTATATATTTGAGAAAAATTAATTTAATTATTTAAACATCAAGTAAACTATATATTATACGAATTTTTAATTTTTCAAATACAAATTACTGTATATAGCAATAATATTGCTACCTTAATTATTAATTTAGCTCTCAGCTAATGTCATTGAATGTTATTTGTTATTAACATTGTATTTTGTATTTCAAGTAAGGTTTGAAATATATCCGCCAATATGCGTTTGACCAATGATAAGGTGTTTCCCCACTTAATACCTATTTATATCCGAAAACTTTGCTAGAGAGCGCTACAGTAGAATTCTGGGCGGTTTTTGATGGACAGTTGGGTCCAGCCAGTCAGTGGTTACGGGCCGACATGTTGGAGATATTTCAGTGATCGTGCGCGGTGGGTCTAATGCGTGATTTTTCATGCGTTTTTTGTGCGTGTTCGATATATAAAAGGTGTTTTTGGATTGCGACGCTACATGTGAAGTGTCGAGTGAGATAAGCCTGGTTGTGCCTGGTTTGTCCGGCCCAGCAAACATGAGCTGGGGTACAGAGCTCTGGGTAAGTCTACTTGAGACTGTTTCCTTCTCTAGCTATCTGTCGCTATCTTTTTCGTTCTTCCATGATATTCACGTATACGACAAGACCAGATAGTATACGCGTCGAATAGCATCGGATGCTGACCCGTTGTTTTCGCCAACGCGTAACAAGGATACCCCCCAAAACCAGTTCACGGTGGCAAACCACTCACAGGAGTTTTGCCTTTGCGGTTGCTAGCCGCGGGCGACGTTCTTCTCTCCTTTGGTATATCCCCTCCTTTCCCACCATACCCAACCCGGTGTACTCATCGCTGTGCTTCTTCGCTTCCTTTCTCATGAAATCTTCGATGAATACCAGTGCGACGATATGACAGTATATAACTTGTCAACTTACTGCGATACGAACTCCATTCGTTAACATAAAATAACGCGTATAAAGATTTTTCCTGCATCAGTCTATAAATAGTGAATTATGTTTATAATTTTTTTTACTCGTGCTCTATACATTTTACCGAATTTTATATTGGATGATCGGTTCTAGGCTTGATTTCTCAAAGTAAGTGACAAATATAGAAGGTATAGTCGTATGGGAATTTGTGTAATTCTAGGAAGTGTAACCGTTATTGGCTGAAATTTTTTATTGTCGCGATTTAGCATGGTTTGTCGAATAACTTGTAGCAGTAACTAATCGTTTATAAATGTTACTTTGAATATGATCGTTCTTTATAGTTACTGTGATGTTACATGCTCGTTATTTTTTCCTTTACATTTCACAAAAGAATTTACGCGCATTTATGTTTGTATGCATAGGATTGAAAATCATGCCACTCAGGTTCGTCATCTTCCTTACTTTCTGTTCTCTATAAATAATTCATTCACGCATTCCAAGTCGTTTTTGTTCCCTACGATCTCTCTTACTCGTACAGGTTCAGAGATCGATGAATTTCTAGCTATGTACTCGATCTGTGCATAGGATGGTCAGTGAGAAGAATTAATGTTTGACAAGCTTACAATTCGTACACTGCGCAGCTTCGACTTAGCTGGTCGCGTTAATGTGTGCCATCGCTCAAGGTGTCATGAATTTTAGATACATCCATAATATCGTTTTCTTTCCCTTTCCTTTTTTTTTTTAATTATAAATCAATGTTCAATATTTATAAAAATGTTGATATGTAGACAAGGTAAAGGATATTATGCATGTACGATATTTGGAGGTATATCACGGGACGCTATGAATGTTTGAACATAACCTTACTTTCGGGGGTTCTTGATTAATCTGTAAGGTTATTACGACTGTCGTTTCGGTACACGATTTGTCGAGATTAGGTCAGTCCATGAACGTTTCGATACGAAAGCATATTCGATTTTATTTGTTACTGTATATTACGATTCATTGACGTTCTACTCGTATCCCCTCGTGAATCATGATACAGGACGCGTTCGTGTTTAACCGCTAACGGCTGCTCGTGAGCATATGTACACGTACGGCACGGGCGTGCCTCGCCATGCTCTTGACAGAGAAAGGGAGAATACAGAGAGAGTTCTGCTTTGAAAATTTCCAGCTGAAGTATCGCTTATATTTACACAAATGTCCGTTCCATTTTTTTCTTTTTTCTTTTTCTTTTACAAATAAACGAGACCTTGTAATTAATATAGAATATAATTTAACATCTGCTTTTCTTTCCTCCCTTTATTTTTTTATTTATTTATGTTTGTAATTACCAGTTTAAATTTATTTTCTTAAAATTTATCGAAGATAATCGATTGATTAATCGATAGAGAAGATTCGAGATGCGGCGTGCAAATTTTTCAAATACAGTTTACGTCGTTGACTTTGCAAGGAGAGATACGTTTCTCTCGTGTTGTTGATTCAACGATAAAATTTTATTATTTGACAAACTTGTCGGCCGATGAGCTTTTCTTCGCTTCTACTTGCACTATCAAATATTTGCACTAGTTAAAGGCAAGTCCTTGTTTTCGAATCTGATCTGAAAACGACTAATCGAAGCAATCATTTTCTAAGCATTTTCCAAGCTGTATGCCCACGTATGTGCTTGTATATTAATCATAATATCGTCGTTTCTTTGATCGTGGTTGCGTCAAACTACAATAAGTGCAAGTTCTTATCGGTTTACACGAAAAAAAACCACGCAACGTCGTTTTATTATGAGGAAATTATATGTTCGTGCATCTCGTTCATATCGAGCATGAAATGATTTTCTAGACAATGAATTTTCTAAAATTATCGTGGAAATGTCACGTAATGGTTTCAATTTTGAACGAACTCTGAATTAATTAAGTTAGACTGAGCGATATATTTTTGCGTTAAAGTCCCTAGAAAATAATGAAATGCATTGATCCTTAGTTACATTGATAACCCTTAACACTCTGGAATGTTCTTATTACTAGAATCTATATTTGTCAACAGATAGATGATACATTTCTGGGGATTTTCTTACAAGTCAGAAATAATATCTCTTAATTGCCATGTACGTACCTCCTGCATCGTGTCAATGAATCTTTACCACTATTGTTGAGTTATTTGTTTGATCAAATATGATTGGACCTTAGAGTGCAAAATTCCTTAATTATCTTCAAATCACGTGACTTAAGGAAAAGAGGGATTCGATTTTTCTTGATAGTCAGATAGCCTTGGTGCAGATAAGTAATACTGGAGATATCAATTTATAAATAATAGCTAAATATACTGTACATAAATGATAATAATTATAATGTTGCAATGAAAATAAATAGGTTGCATATTTTTGGCAAAAATAAAATATTCGAGACAAGTCTAGTGCTAAAAATATTTCCCCTAGATAGTGTTAATCCAATGACTTTACTCTATATTATCAATCCTCGAAGAATTCTCAATGATTTTTAAACTGTAATATTGTTCATGCACGAACAAAGCAGATAGTAGATGTGTCTCTCGTGTTCTTCCTGCTCACCTACGCGACTATCCAGCATCTGGATCGCGGAAAATGGAAGTAATACGTCGTGGGCGGGAAAAACGCGAGGGTTACGAGAATCCAGTTACTTTCTCCGCCACGACGAAATCAGGAATCGTTTTTCAGCACGCGTGGAGGGCGCCACCGTCTCTTTTTCACTTTGAATAACAATTGCGCGGCGGTTTGACGTAAGAAACTTACAATTGAGTTTCCATCTCATCTCGAGCTTTGCGTTTCACTACAATTTTAATACGTTAAAACGAGAATAATATACAAAATGTTACATTGCGCATATCGCGGAATCTCTACAAGGGGTTAGTACCGATTTTTGTCGCCGATTCGATTTTGTTCGATGGCCAATGTCCAATGACGTAAATTCTTCGAAGTGTCTTCGCTTAAAGTGTTTTCTTGTTGGTCAATTACCTATCCGCTGAGTAATAGACAAGGGAAGAAGGAAATCTCGCGTGGATACCACGAGCCATCGATTTCGAAGAACGAAAGCGATTTTATCCCGATTCGCTCGCAAGTGACTGACTTTTTCCTCGGCTTACCCGTGTGTCCATTTCGCGGAGAAACGTGGCGTCGTTGTTTCCTTCTCTTCGATTGTCATCTAGTGACGTCGGTTTTGCAAGGTGTACCGCTCGATGAGCTGTTTCCGCTGAGTAATAGGCAAATAAAAGGAGTCGTTTGCGTCTTTTTTCTTTCATCTTCCCTTTTCTTTCTTTTTTTCTTTTTTATGATTAAAAGAAGGAACAAAGTATATTATTTCTGTCGATCTGTTATTTTACCAAATAATAATATTCAACAGCCAAATTTCACATTCGAAAGGCACCCCTTACGACCTCAATGTTGTCCAAGTTCCCAGTCGACAGGACTTTCAGATTCCAACGAATTTCTCTCTTTCTCTCTCCCTCTCTCTATGTCTCTTTCTCTTTCTCATCCATTTGAAATCGTACAGGGTATTGGAAACGTAAACATGAGCCTGACTTTGTATGCTAACCGATGATTTCATGGCTCGACATTCCTCTCTCGTGTCTCAGACAGGGAGTAAGGTCAGGTGCGTTCCTCTGTTCGGTGCTCGAGTACCTAAAATGGTACCAACGTCTGGAACGCGATAGGCGGGTGGTCGAGGGCGGTTACGTGTATCGAGAATCGATAGCGAAAGAACGAAAAAAGGTGAAGACGCGTTCTCAAAGGAAAAACCCCGCTGGCATCGGGGGCAAAATTTTCGAGCATTTCATGTGGCGCAAAAACTCTACAGGCAATTTGCCGGCCAGTCGACAAATTGAGCGTAAACAGTTTAACAACGTGGAACGAAAAACTTGACCGATTAAATTTCACACGTATTCTTCCTCGAAGCTGTACAGAATCTTTGGTACGCAAACTTTTATCGGACGTTGATTTCCAACGATTTCCAGCGAATTTCATAACTCCTTTTTGGCTCTACGAAATGCCACTCGACCAATTTGTCGAAAGAGATAACGGGAGCGATTATCGTTCGTTATCGAGAATCGGAAACTCATTTGGAAATTTTCCTTGCCGATATATCGGCTCGTTAATAGTAATCGAACGCTCCGATTCTCGCGAGTTATCGATTGATGATCGCAAAGGTAGAAGAATCTGCGAGAATTCGCGACGAATCTAGGTGTACAACCTAGAAAGTTCTCAATGGATCACTCATAAATATGAACGAGATGCTCCGAGTGAAAGTCGAGATTTATCGAAACGGATAATTCAATGAAGATGGTCCCGTACGAAATTATACGAGGAAACGACAGTGTAGTAATTGCCTATTTGTAGCGTAATTAAGAGACGAAATTGTCTTCTCACGATTACACCGGATATCGTTCTTATGTGGCCTGGCCTTATCGCTTACCTGGCGCGCTGTTCTTTTCTCGCGAACCGCGCTCCGTTATCTCCAGCCAACTGATAGTCGTTCTACGGATTTTTCTTTCGATCCTTTTCTCTCGACACGTTCCAATGAACGTCGAGCTCGCGATTGCATGTTCGTCGCAAATCGGTTTGCCCGTTGAGAGTAGCATTCTCGGGAACAGAAACAGGGGCGAACGAT